GAAACTGCGAAATTTATTTGTTAGTTCTGTGGGGGTACCTTCTCGTCAGCTCGGGCACGCGCGCTGCGTTTCCGGCAACCCATCCTCAACGACAGGGGGTGGAAACCAGCACTTTCTGTGAATCTCCGTTAGTCGCTTCATAAACTGCATGAAATTGGCCCGAGCACACCTAATGCACGGTGAGAGCTTCGTGTGGATTTTCAAGCCCCTTGCTCGTGTGATAGCTCGCAGTCTTTTAAGGCTGTAGACCTCACACATCCCTCAGTATGTGACCCTCTTCTCTGCTAGCAACTCAACTATGTTTCACAGGGAGGCCGAGAGCCTCACAAGGCTGAGAAGGGAAGGCAGATGTTGGTCATTAAGAGGGCACCGGCCCGTCACTTCGAGATTCAATTGTACGACGGAAAGTTATAACTCCGTGGCCCGCATTGCTGGAAGGTCCAGGCAAATTACAGCTACGCAAGGATTGCGGAAGTTGGGAGTTGCAATCAAAGCCATCCCACGAAGCATTCACAAACAGACGATTGGTTACTGAGCTTCTTGACCTGTACACGAGGCCGGATGCTTTTAAAAGCAGATTCGTCCTCGCTCGAGACTGGAGTACTAAAGAGTCAAGACTGTGTGGGGGGAAGGCCTCATACCCGAAACAGAGCTGAGCTGGGGCGGACGGCGTCAGATAATCAAGGCACCGAGTGTACGCGCCATGTTCCTGTTGATTGGTGACATGGGTTGCTGCAAAAACTCGGTGCACGAACAGAGAATAATGCCGCGCTCTAGGAAAAAGTGCACTAACTCAGTGGCATGTCCAAGATAAGTCGCGAATCAAGAGCGCGGAGCTTCCTGCAACGCACAGCTCTAGATCGGCGACTTGTTCAAGCGGTTTCAAACTAGGTCATCGAAAGCGGTTTGCAAGCATCTCGTGGCATCGCATCACCTTTTTCGTCTTGACTCATGAACACGACCACACCTTCCAGTCTACGGCTAACAGTGCTTCGCAAATTGCCTGCTGCGGTGTGAGACACCCGCACATCATTCATCGCTCGTGCTCGTGATTAGGAAACTGCGAAAGCTACCGCAGGCGAGGACAGTCTCGCTCCCTGCGTCCATGTTTCCACTGGAAACCCTAATATTGTGCGCCTCGGTTGAATGAAACTGAGGGGCTCTTGACTACTTGTTAGTTATCAAAATGTAGTTTAAATTACGATTAAAATATGTGTTAACGAAAGCATTAAGATTTTGAAACGCATACAACAAGTCGGATTTTCCGAGAACAGGTTTCTTGCAATGCTTTGAACCAAACAATTTATTGAATTTTTACAATGGTTTAGTTTGCGATTTGTTATTTTAAGTAACGTAGAACGGTATTCTCAAGGTGGTGTTCTCAGTCAACCTCAACTAGGTCACAAGCCAAAAACTCACGAAACTGTTTAGCTCGAGTACAATTCCAAGTCACTGCTATAAGATACGATAATAAAGTTTTCAAAGAATAAAATTTAATTTACTCTTGATTACAGCAGGTGAACTCATCCAAAGCTCAATTTACAAAATAAATAAATAAATGAATCAGTGTGTTCAATGACGAAGTTGTAGATGTTACCACGAAAATCAAAATAAATAATTGCTCCGACAACACCCAATAAATAAAGACATAAATGTATACTGTGTGAGCTGGTTCTTTTGTATGAAAACAATGTTGGTATGACATGAATGAAATTACTGTCAAGAACTACAGAAAATATAAAAGAAGTTATAAATTAATTAATTATTAAAACAATGAAATCCGCTGAAGAAGCTATGGACTTGGACAAACTTTGAGCTGCGAAAGCAACAGATATCGAACTGACATTGAGTGACTTAGATTAATCAATATTCTTACTTCATTCTTCGAAATGAAATCCCGAATCTAAACTTTGTGCGGTGCCATTTTGCTGAGTCCCGCTGACTATGAATATAAATAGACATACTTTTGAAAATTAGTTTGAGGTTGCAATTATTCATCTTTGTTTTATATGAAAGGAAAAGGATCATAATATGTGCACAAACAACAATCTAGGGAGCAAGAAGTACCTCGCGAAGTTCCAAATGCGAAGTGGGTCCATGCACGCATCCGCATTGAGGATTATCGCAGTTTGAATCGCTTTAAGATTTCTCATTAACAATTAAAAAAAATACAAAATAAAACCACCGTCTCTGATGTTAAGGCCTGGCTTCCTGATGCAAACACCTTTCCCCAAAACTCCTGGGCCAAATTATCTTTGACCTGTAAAGACAAAAATGCATGGCTTGTCGTTTCTTGTTCCAATCCAACAGGTTGTTTCAACGCTGATCTCATGAGACCGTGGATGACCCTTCTCACTTCACATCATTCGATCCATTAAATTGATTCCGCACTTTGTTGCATCTGCCCTAGAGTTTTATTAACAGTACCGTTGAAATAAAAAAAATTGTCTCCTGTAATCAATTTTAGGATTTCAGTTCCGCAGTCCTAATTGTGTGACACTCGTTCCAGACGTAGGCCCTTCCGAGGTTACTACACATTTGTGTTGCCTTTCTGCTAGCAGATAGTAATCGTGCACCTGTTACTCATTAGAAGCTGAGTCTGAGAATTTTAGCTCTGCCCTAAAACTGGTGGTGACAGCTTTAGCCTTACATACAGTAGGTGCGAAACGCTGGAGGAGTTCCAACATGATCTGATAAAAAGCTCTTGTGGAATTAGTGGTGGACACGTAAAGCGGCAGTCGAGACCACAGAAGACTAGATGGGGTGAGGCAAAGTGAGCCTCCACCAAAGCAAATGAAAATCGCCCACGCCAGAAAACCGTCGGATGGGGGCTCATGCTTTACGCTGCACCTAGAGTCTCATGATTGTGTCAATGTCCTCGATGGCAAATTGCCGAAGATCGCACTGTTCCGTGCAAGCTCACGAAACCCTTCAACTCTAAACCCTTGATTGGGGCAAAAAAGGAATCCACGAATACACAACACAACTGCATCTGGTGGACGTGTAAAAGGAAGCGTAAAAGAGAGAGCAGTAGAAACAGTGCACATTCACGGAACAAATGCCTTTGAGACGCGATCCACCCCTCGCTAGCTTCGCGTAGAGCTACAAAAACATGCAGTTCGCACCCGAAATGCGCACCGGTTCCCTGACGGCTTTCACAACCCCAAAATTACCCACTTCCGATGCCGTTTTTCTGTGATGAACCCACTAATCTAGGCTTCCGAAATTTGAATTCCGAAACCCTCGATCGTGAATCAGACTTTCGATTCTGTCAAGGACACAAGAATTGGAGACACAGTGGCAGGTTTCGAGGAAGTGGAGCACTCGAGCTTTGGTGGCTTTGATATCTCTCGAATGTTCATACATCCGTTTAATGTAGATGAAGTGGTATATTCATCCACGATGGAAAGTAAGGGACTTATTAGTAGTATTATTATTGTATATAATTATAGATGGTGCTCAGAAGGGCAGCAGGACAATCCCATTACACCCTAGTTTGAAGGCAGGGCTATTGAAGGCTCTCCCTCATCTATGATGCAGGCTTCAAAAGTTAACTTTCCACTTTCTACTTTACTTTTCTCCCCCCTGATAATGGCCTTCAATTAACTGACTTCCTATTCTTTCCGTCAGGGCTGCACATTCTTCTCTTTGTCTTTTTCTTCTCTTCTCTTCTCTTTTTAGCTTCTTCTTCTGTTTCTTCTTCTTATTATCTCCTCCTGCTTTGATAATCTTACCCCCATTTTATTATCTGAAGGAATTTTGTTCCTTTTCTAAAAGTGTCCTGCCTGTGATACGAGAACTCATGTACCAGTACCTATTCATTCATAATAATTGTTGTTATATATTTGTCAATAATTGGACTTTTAAAGTATGTTTGCGAGGGTTCAAGAAATACTTGCAAATAATTATTAAAAAATGAATAAAAGAAGCAAAGAGGTATGGGTGTAGTTACAATGATTTGGATATAAAGAGTGGTTTGCATTGTTGGAGCGCTTTGGTAAATAAACAAATAGATAAATTTTTAATGAACACAACAACTGAACATCAAAAGAGGGAATGTATACATGAGAAAATCCTCATACCACGCAACCCGAGAAGAGGGTCCCATTCTCCAAAGGCAAGGTTGACAAGGAGAATTTTATTTATTTATTTTTGACACAAATAAAGGTATACCAAGGAAAGGTTTTCAGCAAGTCAAGTATGTCCAACCCACCTCGTGACCCTTCCTGACCTCCCACCCGTGTGAAAACGGCTCCAGTACCCCCCCCCCAAAAAAAGGAGAAATTAAAAAATACAAAAGGCCACGTCACTCACAGCCCTTGTGCCCATTCCATGTGTCAACTTCAATTGACCTCTGTCTTTTGATGTTGCTTCCCCCCCTTCAATCATGTTATCCAAAAGCTATGCGAAAAAAGGTAAGACGAATTGCATTGAATAATATTTTTTCTTCTATAATAATTAACAATATTGTTCCAACGCATGCACTTTGTACACCTGTTTTTCTAAGAAACACCCTAACTTACACCGTTTTTGTGGTCATGTTTTTCTTACTTTTTTTTTTAGTTGAGAAAGAAATTCAAGGGGTCGCAATTGTAGATTAAAGTCAACCTCTGACCGAAGCCGAAGGAACCTTTTACGTTTTCCTATTCCTTTTTCAACTAAGGAATTTAATGGCTCCAGAGAGGGGGTCTTGCATTCAACGCGAAGTTTTTCCCACGAGCTGATTAAAAAGTTACGGTGACAGCTCGGATGCTCATGATTTTTGTAAAGTCGCCATTTCCAAGACGAGGCCTGGGGCTTAAGGCTCTCGAGGAGTTAATTCAAACCCGCATTGAAACAGGATGGAAAAAGCCCGGTGACCGAACAGCGAGAAGCAGCACGATGCGGATGGATGAGAAAAGATAGATGAACGAGACGAGGGATGGAGGAGAAGGATGAAGGAAGCAACAGAGGTGATTTAAAACCCGTGGGGGGTGACTGGCCTCGGGGAGGTGGGGGGGGGGGGGGTGAGTGTGAGATTGGTAATCAAGGTGGATCTTCGTCGGCGATGGAGCTGTTACTTTGCCTTTGTTGTTGCTCGGGGCTTTGCACATGCGCGCTGTGGGGCAAGCTTACAAACATAAAAACTAACAAACGTCAACGAGGAGTATTCAATCGCTCGCGCGTGCGTCGCTGCCATTGGTTTATGCGGCAGCAAATGTCCATGACTGTGTGGAAAGCTTCACAGCAGGGCCTCACAAGGGGAAGGAGGGGAGGTGGGGGAGAGTGAGTGATGGATGGCAAGCGAGGGGGGCGAGGAATGTTTGTGAGGTGAGAGAGTCTGCTTTCTTACAGCAAGCAGATGGTGGAGTCAGAAGAGCAGGTGAGAGTGCAGGAGTGGGGGGTGAAGGAGATGGAGATGAGAGGTGGGTGTTGTGGTGGGTGTAGTTAGGGAGTAGGACAGAGTGCACGGCACGGGAGGCCCCGATGCAATGGGTCAGTGCTATGGTAAATATGAAGGGCCGGAGGGGGATGATTCTTTCAACGGAGACGGGCACTCGGTGCCCAAAACTCCCAACTCTAAGCATGGATCTTACAACAACAGTAACCGGGGCAGTTTCAACAATGGAGGAGCGTCGCCCATGAGGCACAAGGCGTCGTTTGGTAGCAGTCATCCGTCGCCGCGGCATCCCTCAGCTAGTCCACTCCCGCTGTATGCGACCTCTCCCACTCCCTCGACCCCTCGGCGTTTTTTTAAGCGCCCTTTCCCTCCTCCATCTCCTGCGAAGCACATCCAGTCGTCTCTAGTGAAACGACATGGCGCGAAGCCGAAAGATGGAGGGTCGGATCCAGAGTCCTTGGATAATGAAAAGCCGCTGGATAAGCATTTCAGGTACCCGAAGGACTTCATGAGTAAGTACGAGCTGGGGCACGAAGTGGGTCGTGGGCACTTTGGGCACACATGTTACGCGAAAATTCGGAAGGGTGAAAACAAGGGGCTACCAGTGGCGGTGAAGATAATTTCGAAAGCAAAGGTATGGGTGGGTTTGTTGGTTGGTTGTAGTATGGCTATTCTTAATGCTGCGTATCAGCTGCAACAAGTGCAACAAATGATGGCGGAAGATCGGAAGTGATGTGTTAAGCGAGTGGCTAATTTATGTGCGCATGCTGTTCTGAAGGAAATTGACTGACTAGCATTAAGAGAGAATTGACGAAAGATTGCAGATCTTATTGGTGCGGTGCAGAATGCCGTATTGACTGCCTGACAGTGTAGGTTTTTTCAGGTTGGAAAATAGGTCAATAGTTTAGCAATTGGCTTAGTTAAGCGGGTATGGATTGTGGATTGAGCTGTAATCCTAGCACATGCAGCAGTGTCCAGGATGCTTGGCAGCTGTGAACCTATGTGCTGCACAGAGATGGGGGATGGTGATAATTGATTTAGCTTAGTGTTGGGTTACGGGAGGTGATAAGTCTGGTAGGATACTAAGGTGTTGAAACTTTGTTTGAAATGAATTGTGGCAGATGACAACCGCCATCGCCATCGAGGACGTTCGACGAGAAGTGAAGATCCTGAAGGCACTGACGGGGCATCACAATTTGGTCTGGTTCTACGATGCTTGCGAGGACGATATGAACGTGTACATTGTAATGGAGTAAGCAATTGCGAACCTGTTGGATCTTTGTATTGTATAGCTACTTATTGGAAGCAAAGGCCAAACCGTTCAATGGATGTGAATTCGTCAGTTGAAGCTGAAAGTGACGTGAGTTAGTTTGCGATCTGATCACACGCCTGCTGGAGTGATACTCAAAATGAAATGTATTGAACTTTTCATGCAGGTTGTGTGAAGGTGGTGAATTGTTGGATCGTATCTTGTCGCGGTAAGACTGTAGTATCAATCTTGCTGTTTTCCGGTTGAATTGCAATTATTGCTATTTTTCCTCTTGGGTTAGTGGCCGCGTTCCATATTGCTGCAGCGGCATTATCTGAAAACTGCATAACTGGAGGATGCAACTCGCATCTTAACTTTTATTAGAATAGTTACGAGTGTTGCAAATTTTACCAAAATTAAGCTGATCATTACATTTCACGTTTTTCCGAGCATTAGAAAGGTTTTACAACAAAGAGAAAGGAGGTTATTGTCAATCCAGGTGTGGTTTATTTCGATGTCTAGTACGTTTGTCTGATCTCTCAACATGCTTGTGCAGGGGTGGAAGGTATACGGAGGAAGATGCCAAGATTGTTGTGCAGCAGATTTTGAGCATTGTTGCATTCTGTCATCTTCAAGGCGTCGTACACCGAGATCTGAAGCCCGAGGTGCGGGTTTACTTCTGTTTAAGTTCTCGTTAGTTGTTATAAACTCGACACAAAGTCCTTTCGAAGCTGGGAAGTTTCTTGTAGTGCCTTTTTATTTTGAAAGATTCTGCTTAGCCTGTTGGATTTGAATCTTGAAGTTTAAAGGTACTGGAAACTCTGCGACGAATTTAATTCGTTCGTCGATTTTCGACAACAGTAGCTAACGATTTGCTTCACTGCTGTATTTGCAGAATTTTCTGTTTACTACGAAGGATGAGCATGCTCAACTTAAAGCCATTGATTTTGGGCTATCCGATTTTATCAAACCCGGTGCGTTACGGCGTCTTGAACACTGTTCTTTTTGGACTCTAATACCTGTTATTCATGGACATAACTCATCATTTACATATTTTCTCTGTTCAGTAGTGCAAGAGGTGCATACATTTGTGGGAATAGGAGTTTGGTGATCGGTCCATCGGCTGCTTGTGCCCATTTATGGTTTCTCACTTGAATTGGGAACGGTTCGGCCTGTGTAGGGCAGCTATTGTGTTCCGTTTTTTTACCTGTCTATGCGACCTGCGTACGTGTACTAAAATATGCTTTATTTTTTACTTTAAGTGCAGATGAAAGACTGAATGACATTGTAGGTAGTGCATACTATGTAGCACCCGAGGTATTGCACAGGTCATATTCCATGGAAGCCGATGTATGGAGCATTGGAGTAATCACGTACATTCTTTTATGTGGTAGTCGGCCGTTCTGGGCAAGGACAGAGTCAGGTATCTTTCGGGCAGTATTGAGGGCAGACCCAAGCTTTGAAGAAGCTCCCTGGCCTTCGGTCTCAGCTGAAGCTAAGGACTTTGTCAAGCGGCTGCTGAACAAAGACAGTCGGAAACGCATGACTGCCGCACAAGCTTTAAGTACGTTTTTTTTCTCCCACACATACATGATATATGTAAAAATTACTCCCTCAACAATCTTATCATGTGAGTGCGCTTTGTGCTCTGGAGCACCTTCGAAGTGTAGAAATCTTAGGCAGTGCATAGTTTTTTCTGAACTTTTATGGTGGGCTTGCAGCGCATCCATGGATTCGAAACGACAACGTGAAGATTCCTCTGGATATCATAGTGTACAGACTGGTGAGAGCTTATGTTCGTGCAACATCCATGAGGCGGGCTGCCTTAAAGGTTAGTGGTGGTAGTAATATCCCTCTCGTGATGTTCTTCTCATTTGGTAGTAGACTATGTAATGATGTCTAAGGCGTTCGTAATTTGGTTATCAGGCACTTTCGAAGACCTTGACTGAAGACGATTTGTTTTACCTTCAATCTCAATTCTCATTGCTTGAGCCCAGCAGAAGTGGTCGCATTTCTTTTGATAATTTCAGACAGGTTGGTACGAGCATTTTAGTATCTATTTTATGAGAAAATATTTTATACATTATTTTCTGTTACTTGGATGATTTTCAACTGATTATGTGTATTGCCAGTGATGAATTTGTGAATTCAAATGGGTTTGGTTTTGAATCCTTTCAGAAATCTTTACCGTGTACCCAGCTGTGAATAACTGAAATGGTTTTGTTTCATAACTCCATTAGTTATTTGCACTGGTTATGCATGAATAGGCATTGGCGAAAAATTCAACGGAAGCAATGAAGGAAGCACGAGTGTTTGAGATTCTAAATTCGGTGAGTTGATGTTGAACTTTAACGTTCCCGACGTAGTGTATGTGTTATCCTCTAAGAAGGTTTTCTTCCTTGGACATTTGATTTTTTTTTTTTTTTTTTTTTTTTTTTTTGCTTCGCAACGAACCAACCCTGCTTCAGAAATTACCCGCAGCTTCCTTTGTGCCATTGGGTGAAAGTTTTGGTCAATGATGGTTGTTGTGCAGATGAACTCGCTTTCGCATAAAAAGATGGATTTTACGGAGTTTTCTGCAGCGGCCATCAGTGTGCACCAGTTGGAAGGGACAGACCGATGGGAGCGACATGCCCGTGCTGCTTATGATATATTTGATAAGGAAGGCAACCGTGTCATCTCAGTAGAAGAACTTGCCCACGTAAGTCTTCTGACAGTTTGGTCTTCCATATATCTGCTCTAGTTTGTCGGTATTAGATCGTCCTTTCTGCACTTGATTTGCCTGGCGTATGAGTAGATTTCTATTCCATTGTGATTTCCTATTTTTACCTTAACACAAAAATATAAACTTTCGATCTCTGTCCCAACAGTGTCTAGGCAGCAGTCCGAACTTATCGACTGTGATAGACCATCATGACCAAAGCCAATTTGTCAAGACCCCTTCTCCACTCCCTTTCTTGTAGGAGGCAATTTCAAATAAATGTTCTTTTTTTATGTTGCTAATACCTCCTCTTGTTTAATTTTTACAGGAGGTAGGTCTGGCGACAACTGTACCTGCTCAAGTTTTCCACGAATGGTTGAGACACTCTGATGGTAGGCTAAGTTTTGTTGGATTCACCAAGTTGTTGCACGGAGTAACCACCCGTACGAATAGGAATCATCATTAATGTTTCTTTTCTAGTCTTCCTATCATTGGAGGGTAGTCCCAGCGCCGTGAATCGGGCTTTGCTCACCAATTTCGAGGTCTTTTTTTGCCGTACGAAACTATATATGGATCTTTTGTACCCATTCCACTGCTGCAGGGTGCGCAAGTTGCCTGAACCATTCACTCTTGGTAATCGATGAGGAGGGAGGTGATCTTTTCGGCACCCTGAATTGGGAGTGATATGTCACTACTCGTCAAATGTGGTCCTGTCAACTTAGTTTTAGGTTGCTATCCAACTGTCGGCGCGACGAATCTTTTTCTTCAGTAACTTAAGGTCTGTGCTATCCTGGTGAAGGATAAGAAGCATTGGTCCTAGACTGTAACCAGGCACACACTCAGTGCTTTACAGTTGGGAGTTTCATATAATGATGGAAAAATGGTGATACGTAATGGAAGTTTCGGAGGCATCGAGCCGGGAAGTAATGCAAACCAGCCAGGTCTTGGAATCTGCAGGAAGCGTTGTAGGAAATTTGCCTAGGATCGTCAACCAGTTGCAGCGTGCAAGTGTTGCCTTGAAGCTGTGTACTTTTTCTTGTGTAGTGTTTACCAACATGAAGGTTCTACTGTAGCTGCCTTTGTTCCGAGACCCTCTCAAGTCTCCCACATTGTAAAAATGAGTTGTGTTGCATGCTGAAGTTCAGCTGTGTTGCATGCGTGAAGCCTGTGGTGATGGAGCTTGTATCCCTCACTGTTTAAGACTTTTTCTTGCAAGTGTCCCATTTAAGACTCATCAGCAGAAACGATTGTTATTGTAGGTTAACTTGCCATACAGGAAAGCTTCCAAGGTCCAGTCTACTTATTATGTGTTGTAGACTTTGGAAGTGGTTGAACTTTTCTACACCATTTCTAGATCATTGTGAGCTTCTGTGCTAAAAATCTTACTAAGAAACAAATTGCCGATAATGTTACGTATGCCATACATTTCAACATGAAAAGCTGCATGATAAGTGGCTGGTTTAGCCTTAAGTAACTAATGTGAGTTGTAATTGTTCAGAAAAACACCTCAAATGCATACGCTTTTTCCTAATGACCAAATAAGTTATGGTACTCTGTCTTGTTAGAGAATTACTAACAAATCCGTATCCTCGTTATGTAAAAAAAATGCACCATCTCCCAGTTAATTAGAAAAAGTTAGTACCTATAATATTTTATGTTCATTTCACTTATCAACTATACTGCTGCATCACAATATGTGATTGTAATGTTTGCGATCATAAAGTGACTAAATTCAAATAAATACATGTAACCTTATTAGAACTGTCATAACGGACAATTCCAAGTATTATTGTGTGGAATATCTGAGTGACACTGCTGCTACAATACCTCAATATATATATCCATAACTCTTTTTAATCTGTCGCAAATAAATAATATACCCAACATAATAGCAAATAGTAACAAACCAACAAACTTCGGTAGAAAATCAAGTGCGATCACTTTTGCGTGATTTGGGATTTTTTTTGAATTTTAACAAAACAATTCCAGCTTTTTCATGACTCACAAGAAATGAGTGACCACTGTGATGGAAAAGTGAACACAGAGAATCAAATACTCGGAACTTGAAGGAGAAATGAATACAGGAAAGTTGTAGATTACAAAGTGGGTTCTGTGGATCTGGACAGGATCTTGTGAATTGTCATGCACTGAAAACTGTTTGGACAGCTCAATGCTTGGATTGCACAATTGAACTGTTCCGCAACAGTAAATGCGATGGTTTCTTTCACCGCAGAATCTTACTCAACTTCCTCCGCTGATTGCTACGAGTGATCTCATAAATGAGTCAAAGCTGAGCAGGTATCCAATAAGTAGCCGGCAGTTTGATGTCTAAAATGTCTGCAGTATCTGCACTTCGACACTTATTTGGGTCGGAACCCACACTGCTGTTGAATATATACTGCTCGGTGGCAGAAGGCGTGTTGCTACCTCCAAATTCACACAGGCACACTGCGATAGAAACATACCAGGGCATGCTGAAAAGTGAGACAGAAGATGCGAACAGGTTTTAAACTGCCTCGAACTGCAATAGACTGAACCTTCACATCATTCTGCCAAATTCTCTGCCGATTCTCGCCTTGTGACTTGTTAACATTGAACTATTTCTCGACTCATTCAACGATACGAGGGGAGAGGACCCGCATTGTTCTAGAGTGTTGCTATGAAGGAATACAGTTGAGAAACTGAAGAAACGAGGAATGAGCCATGCAGCACTAGTTTGAGTTTTTGCAAACGTGAAGCGTCTTCTCAAACTCGATGTGTGACTTCAAAATTACGCGCTCTTTCACTCAGATCCTGCAAATGCTTTGCTCTTGTAGCGAAACAGAGCAGTCGAAAGGTGAAGCTCTAAGAACCAGGTGCATTGAGTTGAAATCATGGAACGAGAAATTGGTTGATACTCTTGCCAAACCTTTTGAAGAGTACAAAATCACGCAACATTCGCTGAGAGTTTACATTCCAAAACCTGGAAGAGCATTCAACTTGTGCGTACGGGCTCAAGCTTCTTTAGAAAGTGCGCCACGCCCTTGCTGGCATTCTGAAGGATATTGGAGGTGACAACACCGTCCGGACGCATTGCGCCTCCACAAAAAAACCAGCGTCAAATCTCCTCCACAACTCCGTGTTGGTACTTCCTAAACCTGTTGGAAACTTCTAATGCGGATATTTCGGATTCTGGAAGTGATAAAAATCATGAAAAATGGACTTCCACTGTAAAGATTTGATAAGATCAACACATTAGAAGTAGAGGGTGTAATAGATAGAGTATTAAAAACGAGGATGAAACTATTCTCGGTATTCACGGAACAATGAGTAAACCAAATGAATAACCACACGTGCATCTAAATCATGACAACTAACTGTGTGCTTGATCTAAGTCACGACAAGAAAGACTGTTTCAACGTTCGATTGCCGAAGGCGTCATTGGTGACCTCCATTTGGTCGGTACAACGTCGTTCACACCCGGTCTATTTTTTTAGGAGGAGGGGAAGTGAGGCTTACCACTTTTACCTTTCCTTTAGAATTATAAAGATCACACGAAGGCGTTAGAAAATTCGAGTCGTGATGGGTATCAATGCGTTGAATTCTTGTTCAGATTACGTTATTGGGAATGCCTGCAGCTTCTCTCACCTTGCACACCTTGGATGAAAAGTCAGTTTTGTAATTTCTTGCAAAGTTTTCAACGCTTTTTGAGCAAGCCACCCCACACGCAAACACTTCTTGTGGGAAATTTCTCAAAGAAGTTTATGTCCGCCCACAACCCACATCGGATACTAACGGCGTAAAATACATTCGCTATGCCAGTCAACAATTCAGAAATCACTTCCATTGTGTAGCTTGTTCTATAACAAAGCTTACCAGGTTTGACACAATCCTGGCAACGAGAAACTAAACGGATCATAATTACCGAGTAGATGGAATCCACTCAACACGCCCTACAATCACTCCTTTGTGTGCATATTTTCTCATTAGAATATTTTCGAAGCCACGAAACTTTGACTGATATCTGTGCCTCCCAAATCCTACAAGTAAGACCTACTTATTTTAGAAAAAACTGGACTGACTTGTTCATTGGGCGAGCCTCACTCTCGTATCATTGATTGAACAAAGGTAAATGCAATGCATGAGAGAATAATGAAACTGGAAGCCACTTTAACGAACAAGTCAAGAGAAGGCAATAAATAAACCGGCGGAGGCTGAACATCTGCCGACGAAAGCTCAACGAGAAACTTGAGACCCCGCATGAGCTCTTTCAACACGAGGACGCAGAGGGGCATGGATGAGCATGGATGATGGAGTGAGCAGGTAAGAAAACGAGACCCAGGCGGATGAAGAACTCATGAAGCACCAGAAGTATTCAAAAACCTAGAATTCGGACAGCAGAGACTTCCGGAGCTTTGCGTTACGCAAGTCTCTTCGGAGGAGACTCTACCCCCAGGCCGTCGAGTTCTCGGAAGGCCTCATTGCGTGTTTTCGTATGGGATTTGTGGAGCTTGGGTCAGAAGATTAAGGAAGATCTGGTGGCAGAGGGCGCATGAGAGTGGATGCACAAGCATGGGAATAGGCAGGGCCTGGGGATGTCAGGGAATGCTGATTGCGAGCGCGGGAGTTTTGGAGGGAGCTGGGACGAGGGAACTAGGAGAAGGGTTAGTTGTGAGTGTTTTTAGGTAGTGGGACAGAAGCCTGGGCGAACAAGGAAAGGACCTGATGCAATGGGTCAGTGTTATGGAAAGTATGAGGGAGCTGAGAGAGACGATTCGTTCGCGCATGATGAGTTTCGAGTGCCGAAGAATCCCAAGCATGGATCTTACAGTAGCAAGGGTAGCTTTAACAACGGAGGAACGTCGCCCATGAGACAGAAGACTTCGTTTAGGAGCAGTCAACCGTCTCCGCGGCACCCCTCAGCTAGTCCACTCCCGCAGTATGCGAGTTCTCCTGCTTCCACGACTCCTCGGCGTTTTTTTAAGCGCCCGTTTCCTCCTCCTTCTCCTGCGAAGCATATCCAGTCGTCTCTAGTGAAACGACATGGCGCGAAGCCGAAAGAGGGAGGGTCGGTTCCAGAATCGGTGGAAAATGAAAAGCCGTTGGACAAGCATTTCAGGTACTCGAAGGACTTCATGAATAAATATGAGCTGGGGCACGAAGTGGGTCGTGGGCACTTTGGACACACATGTTACGCAAAAATTCGGAAGGGTGAAAACAAGGGGCTACCAGTGGCGGTGAAGATAATTTCGAAAGCAAAGGTATGGATGGGTTCTCTTGGTTGTTTCGTCGTTACTCTTATTGTTGCATACATCAGCTGACATGTGTGCAGCCGGCAGTGTTTTCCTGGGAGGATTGGACCATTAGTGATAAGCGAACCGAGTCGACAGTGCCTGTAGCAAACTGAAATGGCTAGTTTGCCCAGGCAGATTTAGGAACATAACCAGAGAGCATATATCTTAGTGACGCAATGAGTTTTGGACAGTGCGGGTTTTTGGGGATGGGAATTAGGTTGTGGTTGGGCAATTGGCCTGGTGAAGCATTTAGTAGCAGAGGTGAGAAAATGGAATTTGGGGGGTTTTTTTATGTGATTCTTCGACTACATCGGATGGGAAATGTCGGCTGGGTGAATAGACTGTGCACGAGCATTAGGAGAAGCTACGACATAAAATTTTATTGGCACTTTTTGGCATTTCGAAACCTTGGGGGTGCTGAGTGGTCAGGGTTAGAAATATACTATTTGACTCATTGTGTGTGTATGAGGACATCATTTGGGTCGGCTTGAAGGTGTTGAGACTTGGTTGGAATATGCTGTGGCAGATGACTACAGCCATTGCCATTGAGGACGTCCAACGAGAAGTGAAGATCCTGAAGGCTCTGACTGGACATCACAATTTGGTCAGATTCTACGACGCATGTGAGGACGGTCTGAACGTGTACATTGTAATGGAGTAAGCAATGGTGAACTTGTTGAATCTTATTCTAATATGTTCCTTTAAAAATATCATACTAGTGTTGTGCATGTCCAGTTTCATATTTTTCAATAGTAGCACTTAAAGTGGGTGGTTACCTTCGTCTGTGGGTGGCGTGTGCAGTTTTGCAATGACCACACGTTTCCGATACATTATTTCATCTAGAAACGTTAGTAGGACGTGGTTATCTGGGGTCTCGGCATACATTCTAGTGCTTTGCTTCGTCAAGTTTCTTGCCAAAATTGTTTTAACTGACGCATGCAACCTTGGTTACAGGTTGTGCGAAGGAGGTGAACTTTTAGACCGCATATTGTCAAGGTAACGCTGTCGCTCCATGTTATATGTCGATTTTTCAGTTAATCTTTGGTAGTTATTAGCTTTTAATAGTTTTGTGCTTCTTTTGGCAAGAGTCTAAATTTCCGTTTGAAATCCTTTAGGGGTAATCCTGTAGCGTCCTCTTTATGAGGCGTATGTCACAAACCAACCTATGTTACTCAGGAGCAGAGCTATGTGTTGTGTACTATGATATGCCCAGACTTCGCCTAGGATTAGTGTGGTGCAGAATGGATCAGGACCTGAGTTCTTCACGTGTTTGTGTAGGGGAGGGCGGTATACGGAAGAAGATGCCAAAATTGTAGTGCGGCAGATATTAAGCATTGTTGCATTCTGCCATCTGCAAGGTGTTGTGCACCGGGATCTTAAGCCTGAGGTGTGTAGACCTCGAACCGTGGCAAGCTCGCCAGGCCTGGTAGCCTAATACTTGAAAGTTAGCTAATGGAAGATTGTTAGGATGTCTCTCTAAATCTTATCCCAAACTATATACATACATACGTATATATATATATATATATATATATGTTTGCATACATACAGAAAACGGAATTCGTAGGTCACAAATTCTTTCATAGCTGAGGATTGTTTCGCTGCTACTCCCTGTCTTTCCTCTAAAATTATATTAGTGTGTATAGAAGTTCGAGAAGTTTTCTGGCTGTCTTCGTTACCAGCAGTTTTAAATTGTCCATGTTTTTGTTTTTTTCTATTTTGAGGTTAATAGCCTCAAAAATTTCCCAAAAACTGACACTGCTTTTTTGAATTCGAATCTGTAGAATTTTCTGTTTACTTCTAAGGAAGAACATGCTCAGCTGAAAGCCATTGATTTTGGATTGTCGGATTTCATCAAGCCCGGTGAGTTGCTACAATTTTACTCTTCTGTTTTTACTTTTTACTTTTTTTTACTTTTATTATGTTGCCTTCGATGGAATCGGCTCTAGTGTTAAAAACATGACTTGCAGATACTACAATGCTTCATTTTTTGGTTGGATTGCAGATGAAAGACTGAATGACATTGTAGGTAGTGCATATTATGTAGCACCGGAAGTGCTACATAGGTCATATTCCATGGAAGCTGATGTATGGAGTATTGGAGTAATCACGTACATTCTGTTATGTGGTAGTCGGCCGTTCTGGGCAAGGACAGAGTCGGGTATCTTTCGGGCAGTATTGAGGGCAGACCCAAGCTTTGAAGAGGCTCCCTGGCCTTCGGTCTCAGCTGAAGCTAAGGACTTCGTGAAGCGACTTCTGAACAAGGACATGCGGAAACGAATGACTGCCGCACAAGCTCTGAGTATGTTCTTACTTCGAGCACTTGGCGATCCTGCTTATTTTGTCCAAAAATTGTGACATAACCTCTTTCCTTCTTATTTGTTCATTTGGCAGTAGTTCGTAATTTTCTAGTACATTATCCTAATTGAATACTATCCTGTGGAGATGCAGCTCATCCATGGATTCGAAGCAACAACGTAAAGATACCTCTGGATATCATAGTGTACAGACTAGTGAGAGCTTATCTTCGCGCAACATCCATGAGAAAGGCAGCTTTAAAGGTTTGTGGTTGAACCTCTCTCTCGCGCGCTCTGATCTTTTGGTAAGAATGTAAGTTGCAATTTTTTTTGACTTGAGATCGGATTTTTACAGGCGCTGTCGAAGACTTTGACAGAAGAGGAGTTGTTTTATCTACATACCCAATTTATGCTTCTTGAACCCAATAGAAGTGGGCGTATTACCTTTGAGAATTTCAGACAGGTGGATGTTTTCTCCGCACAGCTTTGATATCAACTCTATAAGTTTCTCTTTCTGATCATTGTGACTGACTTCGATTGGTACTAATTTTCATCTTAACTTTGGACGACGTTTTTTTTGCTCATCGCGTTATTTTCTGTCAATGATTAGGCATTGTTTAAAAACTCGACAGAAGCAATGAAGGAGTCCCGGGTCTTCGAAATTTTGACTTCGGTATGTTATTTCCCAATGTGTATTTCCCCTATTGTACGATGCATTAGTAATTGTAGGCAAATCGTCAATGTCATGGATTTCTTTATCAAGGAAGTCTGCTCTCTTGCTGGCATTTTTTTTTTTTTTTTTTGCTATTTATACGAGGAAGGGTCAGTGTTGCCTGATTTTCTGGGTTTGCGTATGCTTGTGCATGTTAGCAGATGGATGCACTTTCGTTCAAGAAGATGGATTTATCTGAGTTTTGTGCTGCGGCTATCAGTGTGCATCAGTTAGAAGGGACAGATCGATGGGAGCAACATGCCCGTGCTGCTTATGACATATTTGAAAAGGAGGGTAACCGCGTCATTTCTGCAGACGAACTTGCAAAAGTAAGGGCTTCTCACTCGCTCTTGTCATTTCAGTGTTTTGGCACTACGTTTCTTTTGACTGTGATTCATGGTTAGGGCATTCGTCTATCACCATGCGAGCATATATGTGCTAAGGTTTTTTTGGAGGTTGTAGTTCGGCACTCCTCTTTGTCACAAGGAGCTCACGCCGTAAGTCTTTTGAGTACTTTCAGGAGATGGGATTGGCTCCTACAGTTCCTGCGCAGGTGTTTCAAGAGTGGGTGAGACATTCAGATGGCCGGCTGAGTTTCATAGGGTTCACCAAGCTGCTGCATGGAGTAACTTTCCGTCCTGTCCGAAACCAGCAGCAGTGATTCTTTGTGCCGTACAGCCTGCAACGTGGAGTATTACACTTCAAGCGGTTATGTACTTCTGATGTCGTTTGCTGCTTCCCCTCTGCGCTGAGCTGACAGGCTCGTCTTCTGCCTTAGTTTGCCTAGTCATTATACATGACTCGCACTTTTCTATGTGGTTTATGGCTTTCGTGGAAGTAATTTGTCACCTCTCATCAATCTGGCTTCGGTCTCCTTTTCGTGATTGCGCTATCAAGACAGAAGTCCGGACCTTTTGCAAACCGCATAAGTAACCGCAGCATGTCCTCACAAGAAATATCATAGTGGAATGTAGGAGCACTTCGGCACACATTTAGTGCTCTTATTGGCATGTAGAGTTGAGATGTTATTTCCTAGGGAGGATTCATGAGGTAGTGAGTGGAGTGTATAGACCGGCATATGCATTAGGCGATTATTGGAGTGCCACTCCTTCATTAGCGTCAAGTACACGCCATGGGCACATTTGGTCAGCAGCGCCAATGTTGCGTAGTATATCCTCCCATTTCGATTGTCAATCACTACTACTATTTAGTGTTAGGTTGTAGGCAGTCACTGTGGCTTGTTCAATTTATGGGACCATCCTACTTCCCACATTGTATCACTTGAGATGTTCAATTATTGTTCATAATTTTGTGCTCCGAATACTGATCAGTTAATTTCACGGAATCGCCTCGATTGCCACCGAACTGCTTGTATTTAGGGAAGAGGATGATTGTTGTTCTGCATTGCATTGCAAGAGTTATTACTCATGAACTCAAAGCAGTTGTTTACTACTCCAGCTAACCTGGATTCCTAGGTCTAGAGTCAAAATTCGTTCGACGGTTAAAGCGTTGATAATCAAACACGACTTGAGTTGTGCCGCGCGACCCCAAATTGCCAATTGTTTATCAGGAGACTGGTAGCAAGAAATTGCAAATTGTGGGCAGCACCGGGCATTTCGAGGAAGACTTGCACAATCCAGCTCCTCAGATGACGGAGTGACTCCTTCTGTGGGAGAGTTTGCCGCTTCGGTTCTGCACAACCTTCCTTACCCTCATCAATTTTCCCATGTGCATGCAGTTCTGATCATCAATCATTTACATTGATGATCGGGACTTGTGGAATTTTTTTTACGGTTTACAATGTTTCATGTCAAAGGGGATCACTTCTACATGTCTAATGGTCCTCTTATTTTTTATGTTTTTATCTTGTACTTAGTTTGACAAACAAATGAGTTCTCAGCACTTCGCGAAGTGTCGTGGGCAGGGCAGCTAAAGCATCAGCGGTTTTTATGGATCTTGTACGCTACAGAAACTGCCACGACCAGAGTTCAAGTTTCATTAATATCAATTTTGGTGGTGAGAAATAAGGTAGAAGTGGTTTACCAATTGAGCTGCGGATTTGGAAGGAGTGGCGGCAATAGCATCAAGTAGGGCAGGGTCGGAGCCCGTCTCATCATCCTCTGGAGCTTTGGAGCTTGGTATTCTTCGAACTCTTTGAGGTAGACGCAAGTCGACACCTCCTTTTCCAACACTATTAATCAAAGATGGCGTTGACGGGGATCGTCTTATAACCAAAGGTGATAGTCCTGAGACACCAAGAATCAGCAATTTGTTTGCAGTCTCCTCGCTTTTGGGTGACAAGGGTGGTTGTGCATGCCATTTATCTGTTTTCCAATATGACTACACACTGTTAGTCCATATGTTCCAGAATGTGAGGGTCGTAGGGACTGGTAAAGCTCCGGAAACTTAATTAATCTTACTGAGTCGAGAGTTATATTTTGGATTGGGTCATGTATGCTTCCTTGTCCCCTCCTCCGAAAGTTTCTTTTACCAACATGAAGTAATACTTTGAAGATTTTAAACTTAATCGTACTAGACTTTGTGCAGCAACTCATTCACTCGGTAGGTGAAGCTGGACAGTTAGCAATTGTTTCCTTTGGTTATTTATTATATGCAAATTCTTTAGCCAGTTATTTTTAAGAAGGATTGGGCAAGATCACCTTTGATATCAGATCTAGAATGAACAACTGTTTTGGAGCTGACACTCTCGTTGTTTACGTCTGCACTCCTTATCTCGTTTTTACATTCAGTAATATTTGCCGGCTCCGGGGCTGTGTTGCTTTGCACCGTTTTCATCACCAAAATAATGGGGGGGACGGGGTTCCGATGGTTTTTTTTTGACTCGGAGTTGCAGCCCATAATCATCCTCAGAAGATCTGCTCGGAAGACTCTCTTGCTACACAAGACAACCCAATTGCAGTAGATATCAATACCAAAGTGCTTAGTATTGATCCTATGTTCCATTGAGATGTAACAGCCAGCTTGTAATCGAGTAGAATGCCGTTGTGACTGTTACTTCATGTGATCAGTTTTTCTATGCATACTGTTACGAACCACTTTGACAAAATAGGTGAACTGGAAATAACAAACCTGCAGTAAATGCCTATATAGACCAATGATCTTATAGATGTGATATCTATCCACACAAGTTAAGGTAAATATCGATCAATAATTTCTGAAGCACATAATGGATTTCAGTTGCCTCCTTTTAGGTCTTCGTTAAACCACAAGTGGTTTGTGCTGATATATGAGAACAATTACTTGAAATTCCAAGGTGCTACCTACGTTCAAAGCAAGTAGAGTTTAATACCACTTCCTCTTTGATTTTCGAAACAGCCCTAGGTGCTCCACACCAGATTGCTTTACCGAGTTAAAAAATTCAAACATTTTCACAAGTCTTTCCGGAATGTGGAACAGCTACGATGCTCGTTTACATGTTTGCTTGGAGAAGTTGACTCAGCGATCTGCACTGTTGGACGCACTCAAACTTTTACTGCAACCTTCACCCCCATGTAGTATTGCATTGAACATCAAAACATACTCTGAATCCATTAATTTGTCTTCACAAAAAACTCCTTTCCGCTTTAAGATTTAACAATTTCCACCTTCGCAGGGCTTGGCTGTCAGCCCTCCATACTCCGTTTTCAGCATCATGACTAAATTGTTGGAAACAGTGTAGATCGACTGAGATTCTCAAATTCGTAGAACCTACTCCTTGTCGTAATCGATGTAATGCCGGGTGATTGAGATTCGGATGATAGACTACTCAGAGTATACCAGTTTTCAGTATTGAGATGTGGAGTAAAGACGGGTGCGCGAGGGAAGTAGTGGAAAGGTACCATGAACAGACACATCACGAAAAGCACCTTTTCTCTTGAAGGTTAAAGGTCTCGGTTCACACCAGCAGCTGGGCTGTGCATCACGAGTTTTCATGCCAGCGGAGATGAAGATTTTGACTCACTGTAAGATGATGTATGAGCATAGTCGTCCAAGTCACATATGTATGTAAGTGTGTATAGATATATATATATATATATATATATACATGCGTGTGTGTGTGTGTATACACACAAAAACAACAATAATGATTGGCAATCACATCCAGTGGAGCAGAAGTCACATCGAGTGAGCCTGAATTTGGGATGAAGAGATCTGGACTTTTTTGCAACAATCTGATATTGTCGACACAAACATGTTACGTCACATTCATGGCTGTGACAACTGAAAAGAATAAACTGCGTTCCGCAAGCTGCCAACAAGTGGGTGGACTGCGAAATTGGTAATATAGCAATTTTGTGTCCTAACCGTCAATGTGACAAGCAACATGGCTCGATAGATGAAACATTAGCACTGTCGTGGCAAGTAGGCCACGTAAAATGAGATGAAAAGAGGCAACACTATTCTCCTGTAGCTTGGAAGGCATGGAGCTAACCTCCCACGCCGACCATGGTTTTTCGTAAACAAACCCCACACCTGCTCTGCAAACTGTAGAAAACTATGAAGTGGGTCCATGTAGAAAATGGCTGGATGAAGGGAAAATGAAGTGAAGTTTGTCACTTGCTGAGCGATTGAGAAGCTATAGCTGTTACATAAAAGAAACCAGGGTTGGCGCCAGCCTCGGCACGTCTCAAGGCCTGAACTTGGACACAGTCGTGGCAGGCGCTGCCAAGAAAGATGTCACGACGACACGACAGGTGAGGAAACCCAGCTTCGGAGCCGGACGTCAAGCGACTGCACCCACGAGCCTTCATGGCTGCGCACAAGCTTCAGTTGCCTCGTAGACAGAGCCTCGCGTGGTATGCACAACGCTGCCTTGCGCGTTGATCTATCCTGAAGGGGAAACTCTTCGATCTCGTCACATCCACAATAAGCTAAACTCATCTTGTCCATTTCAAATAGAGAAAGGAAAAAAGAAATAATTATAGTTTCGTACTCCTCTACCATGAAGAGACTGAATTCAATCAGAGGCAGTTTCAGCCATCGCAGGTAGTGACTGCAAGTTTTGACGACGGTTTCAATATTGCTGGATAACGCAGCTATGTCATTGTAGAGGTTTGATTTTTATGCATCGTATTAACAAGGGATTACGAAGTGATGGATCGTGGGCTGATGTTGAACAGCAATCGGGCGATGGTCTTATGAGAGCTTGGTATGTCTGCGGCGGAGTCCTCGCTGTATCTCGTGGTTTGGGGGATTTCAGCGTTTGGGAGTTAGTGGTCACCGCCATAGCACCGGAGCAGTTGAAATTTGGTGTAGCTCGGGAAGAATTGTGGGTATGACGCTCAAGTAGGAGCATGCTGTTGATCACTATAAGTGAGGATCTGGAATCGAGAGTGAGGATAAGGAGGTTGATTTTCAGTTTCCGTCGACTGATTGATTTATTGCTCTCATGAGCAGCCTCTGCACATTCAGAACTGAATCTCTTGCGAGTTTCTGGGTGCGACATGGGAAACACACCGAGCTGTTCTTCACAGTGAAGATCCTTCGATCACTTTCACGTTGACAGCCCTGGAATACTTTGAAGACGAGATGCGGGGTAATTCAGGATTCGTGTGAGAAACAGTCACATCTAAGAGCACGATTACGTCATTGTCTTGGACTCTTTGGCATTTCGGTCCTTTCGAACACTTCCAGGTTGCAAGGAGTAGGAGGCTAGGTTTCAACTTTCAGTTATTTTATCGATTTGCTCCGAGGATCTATTTATAGATCGACCCCCTAATTGCAAACCAAGTGTGGCAGCTCCCATGAATTGCCTTTGAAGTTCGTCATGCGAGTTGAAGTTACCTCATTCGATCTCAAGGCAGTCTCTTTCCATCCCGGTCATCATACGTGAGGAATTTCCGCAAGAAAAAAAGGTTTGCAATTCATTACCTGTCCCCTTATCAGAAGAATTCCCAACATTACCCCCCCCCCCTCGGCCTGAGGCTTACATTGCTGTTCATCTAATTACGAACTATTTTTTCAAGGATTGTAAACTTTGAGAATTAGGCATTACATGTAGGGCCGAAAGAAAACTGCTGATATAAGAAATAAGAGAAGGAGCTCGAAGAGACGCCCACTGCGGCAAGAGGAGGACATCTGTGGTGACGACGACGATGTGGCAAATGAAAGGCGATTACGACCAAAAAGATTCTGTGTTTCGAGATTTTAAGGACGTGTACAAGCGCAAGCCTACGAATCGCATCTTGAGCATATCCGCAGCACTCACATGCTTGCAATGCTTTTTCGCATTATACGGGACGGTGTTGCTGTTCCATATGAGCCCCTCCGTGGAGCTCATGGCTGCCTCGGATGGCAGCACTTTCTGGGCGGGACAAATCGCTCGGCAGTGGAAAAATTGGATGACCACAGCTGCGTACCGTGCGTCACTCAATCATTTGCCTCCTGTCCCACTCGCCAAGTCGGATGTGTGCGAACGCGAAGAGATTAACTTCGAACAGAAGAAAAGCACTGACAAGCGCATGATCGGCTTCAAAACGAGCTTGTTCAAGTGAGTTCATAATCCCCGTCAGTTCTTGGCCGATTTTTGCGAGCAAGTCATATTTTGGATCGCAATTAGGTGTTTGTGGCAGCAATTGATACTGTGATTCACTTTTATAGCGAGGTAATGAGCTTCCAGCAGAAGTCGCGGGGATGTGAGACGTTGGACGAGCTGATGGCTCTACCATCCTCATCGGCGGGGGCTAAGGTCACCGTGATTGTAAATCACTACCAACGGAAGACTCTGTGCGCGCAGCTGGATGCTCTCCTTGAGCAGACGCATCCTTTCCATAACCTTTGGGTGCTTGCCTTTGGGAGTCCGCAGCAAGATCAGCTGCGCTCAATTGTGGAAACCTACAACGACAGTCGCATCACCTTCGTCGGCTCCACATACGACTTCAAATATTACGGCCGCTTCCAATTGGCATTGCAGACAGTGGGCGCTGATTTCGTCTACATGCTCGATGATGACATGATTCCAGGAAAAAGGATGATTGAGATTATGGCACACATCGGGGCTACCGATAAGTACCGTAATTCAGTTCTGGGCAGCATTGGCCGCATACTTCCATTCCGACAGAAAGACTTCACATTCCCCAGTTACCGAAAGTTTGGATCAAAAGAAGCAGGAATCTATTTGCCTGACCCAGCTTACAACATTGTCGTCGACCGCATCGTGCAGGTCGATTTCCTTTCCAGCTCGTGGTTTATCTCCGCCGACTTAATCCGGTCCCTGTTCATTGAGAGGCCCTTCACGTTTGTCACAGGCGAAGACCTTCACTTGAGGTGAGAGATCTTCAACTGTAGACAGACATTCTTCACGCATTCAAGTTATAAGTCTGCTTGGTGGAACATCTATTTACGAAAGATTTTTTTCCTTTTCTTTTTCTTTTTTTTCTTTTTTTTTCTCCTGGCCATGCAGTTACCTCTTGCAAAAGTACATGAACGGAGGATCTTATGTCGTGCCTGTGGATCCTCGCAACAAAGAGACGTGGGGGGACAGTGAGCACCGCTTGGCGTATGTTTCTGAAACAACTGTCATTCACAAAGACATCGTCCAGGTAATCAAATATCATGATTCAGAAACCTCGCTGAAATCAATTGATGTAATGTTCGCTTGTGGTTCGATGTTTAAATGTCGTTTAAAGGAAAATCCATTGTGGGCGTGTAGGTTAGGGACAATCAATGGTGGAGGACGATGTCGCGAGGCTATGTAACGCAGTGGGCCGCCATGAATCCACAGAAAAGCGATGTCATCTTCTACGCAGACACGCTGGATGAGGTTCGAGCGCTCGCTCCTCTCATTCTCAAGTTCCGCGCCACCCCTGGGAAGAAGGCCTTTGTAGCTGTCACGGGTGCTCCGTCCTGCCCCTGCGAGGAGGCTGCCACCATACTCGGTTGGTCGCCTGCTTCATGTCACGAGCGGCGGTTCAAAATTTTTAATTTCGAGATCAGAGGTGACTCGCGAGATAAGACGAAACTGGACCCATCTTTTATAAACGAAGTTTTTGCTAGCATGAAAGGGCTGATGCGAATTCACGGGCCTTCGCTCATCATGACAACCAACACGATAGCTCCTTCTGTGCGTGAGGCATTAACTCTTGCTGTCAGGACGATCAATGCCACATTGGTAGAGCTTCCACCATCAGCTGTCCCATACTCGCTCTGGATTCCTGACATTCGATCAGTCGCTCTGCACTGTGAGGCGCCAACCTCTCAAGTCTCGATTCCATTCCATCATTTTCACTTCGTGTCAGAATGGCTGTTCATGTAATTTTTTATCTTTACCTCAGTAATGACAAGTCGGCATTATTTGTAACGATTTTTACAGATTGGAACAACATAAAAATCTCAATCAGCATCATCACACAGACACGGCCAGCTTCCCTGCGTCGCTTGCTGAACTCGTTGACAAATGCACACTACCTAGGGGATAAGATTGGGATCACGTTCAACATGGACAGCAAGGTGGACTCTGAAACATTGCTTGCGATCCACGCCTTCAACTGGCCGCACGGCCCGAAGACCGTGAAGCGGCGCATTATCCAGGGCGGGCTGATTCGCGCTGTGAGCGAGAGTTGGTACCCCGCCTCTGACGATGATTTCGGCTTGCTCCTGGAAGATGACATCGAAGTCTCCCCTTTCTACTACATGTGGCTCAAGTATGCGCTTCTCGCGTACCATTACGACCCCACAGTTCACCTCCCCGAGCTGAACGCGATCGCCTTGTACACCCCCCGAGTTGTAGAGGTCGTGAAGGAGCGCCCTCGGTGGAATGGCACGGATTTTTTCAAAATGATTCACCCCAATACTCCTTACTTGCACCAATTGCCCTGCAGCTGGGGCGCGTTGTTTTTCCCCCAACGGTGGCGAGAGTTTTACAAGTACATGGGCATGCGCTTCACAGAGAATCCCAAGGACAATCTGGTTCAAATTCCGCATTCCAGGACGAATGGATGGCAGGTACTTCGTCCGAGGATGATTGAAATTCTGTCATCCTTTCCCAGTGTCAACTGTCACAACAGTCCACTGAATACGGGATCAAGTATAACTGCTTTGACTTGACTAGACCTTCAGCTTTAAGATTTTTGATTCTGGGAATTGTGTTTGAATGCAATGTCAGGCTTCGTGGAAGAAGTTTTTGATCGACATGATGTATCTGCGGGGTTATGTGACGTTGTACCCAAACTTCCCCAATCAGACTAGCTTTTCTACTAACCATATGGAGCCAGGTGCTCACATCAACGCCTCCGACAACGTCGTGAAACACAATCGAGAGGATTTCGTTGTCCCGCTTCTCTACGTGAGCAATCACTCTACACCTCGCATTCATGCCTTGGGTTCAATTTGTGGTACCATTGTTGAAAGGTTTAGTAAAAATTGTAACACTGAGGACTAATCTCATGTGGTCGCCTCTGAGGCATGGCAGGAGGATTTCCAGCCACTGCTACCAAAACAGAAACTGCCGCCAGCATCGAAGCTTCCCGTGTTGAACCTCTTCAATATTCCGACGACACTGAAAGGCTTGAAGTCGGCGGGCGCGAAGCTGGGCCAAGACGTGCTCCGTTGTGAGAAGACAGCGGTTGTCACCGTGGATCCCATCACCGGAGAACCTCAGAAGTGCAGCACGTTTTGAAATCACCACTACTTGTTCGCAAATCAATCAATAAGCATCTCTTCAACCCAGATGTCACAATGTTCTGACCATCGACAAGCTGGGTTGTCTGGAACTTGTCACTCGCAGCCACCACCTTCCTCAGCATCTATAAGGATCTCACAGTCCTCTGAAAGATCTCTTCCAGACATAAATCGACTTCACGAGTATAATCAACTGTTTCTTCCTCAGATGAGACTGGTGTCTCGTATTGAATGGGTTGTAGCTGCGATGTGACGGCAGTTTTGCTCTTGGATCTCGACATACGAGATGAAGCTGATGTTTCGATCTCATCCTCTTTACTCCATAATCGTCAGCAGACTCGGGGAGTATCAATGCTAATAACTCGATGACAGACGCTTTTGCCGTAATTTTACTTGCCACTCCAATCAGTGTAGCACAACAGTGATCTGTTAATCGGGAGCGGACAGACTGTGATGTTTGAGTAGTAGAATGAATCAGTAGCCTATTCATAAGCCTTTCTGAGCAATCAGATCACCCTTGAACGTTCATATAGATCAGTGATTGCAGGAACTAGCGAGCTCCTCCGTCAATCTCCACAGCTCTCACAAACTCATCACCAACAAAGGAAGTTGAGTGAGTGACTCATAAAAATTGAAGATCACTGGAACAGTTTTCAAGGTCCTGCTTTCGATCATTGTAATCTTCAGCACAAGCTGCAACTCTGGGGGTTAAAGTTCGATATGTGACTGAAGTAAACCTAATTTATTTGTTTTTATTCATGTCTTTTCAAACCCCTTAAAACCGCTCAAGGTGTTTCAGTTCAATTTCAAGTCTCTTGCAAATAGAAACTTTTCAACAGGCTTTTTCATGACCTATAAACATAAGCCATAATATTTTATTCTTTTTGTCATTTGACCAAGTCCCTTTTATAAGAATATAGTTTTTTTATTGTATTCAAAATATTCAAAATTAAGCCCCAGAAATTAAGAATCATTAGACTTTTATATCTTTGATGCTAATAAGGGCTTAAGTAAAAGCAAAGTCTTGAAAACCAATGCCAATTATGTTGTTTTTCATGGACCTTGATTACATAACAATTTTTTTCAAATTCCAAATTCATTGAATAGCACAGCATTTCTGAAATTGGTATGATATTGTTTCTATAAAATTTGGAGAATAATTAAGAAAAAATTTATTGAAAAAATTACCAAGTTTTTGTTTTTATATATATATATATAGAATGATTAAACTTTTTTGCTGTTAACTGTTTGAAAACTGTTTGAAAACTGTTAATCATTTTAAATATATATATATATATATGGAACAGTTTAAAATGATTAAACTTTTTTGCTGTTATTGTGGTTTACTGTAAATAAATAAATTATAAAAACCAACATATGTTTTAATAGCCGCTTCTTATAGTATTTTCTTTAGTACTTGTATTTTTCTTTGTTTATTACTATATTCCAACTTTCTAATGTTTCATATAAATATGTATTATTTTTTGAAATTTAATTATAGAAGAGGGATTATCATGATGTTCCTATATTTTTTGTATGGAAGTTCTTAGCCATGATTTTTAGTTAAATACTTATAATTTAATTTTGTAGACTTTAGTTGATTTAACCAAAGAATCAAATTGCAAAGAAAAATTAATTGGATAGTAATTAAAATGAATATATCTCTTTTGATGTGGTATTCTTTAATGCTGACTTGATAGAATACATATGTAAATATTTAGAAATTTTAAAGTCTTACCAAAGCCATGATTTTTATCTATTATGTTATTTCAAGAATAAATTTTTAAACATCATTGAAAAAGAAGCATTTGACATTACATACAAAGTTGTTAGATAAGACAACAAGAAAGATCAACAAGTAAAATATCTTTTTTTAATTTTATATTTAAAACATATATAATTAAGGAAAAAATTAGTTGTTACTTCTTTTTCTATTATTTTTTTAAAGTTTTGATTAGCATTAATTATAAATATTAATCTAACTTTGATCCTTTAAATATGATCTTATTAAAAAAAAAAAAAAAAAAAAAAAAAAAAAAATCTACATCTTTATTACTTGTATTTTTAGATCTTTAGTAGTGGATAATAAGTTGATAAGATTCAATATGGAATTATTGTCCCTCATATGTGTGTACTACTTTAAGGTCTTAGTGTAATTTGTATTTGCATTAATAAGATTTTATTTTTTTAAAAAAACAGGCTAAAATAGAATAATGTTAATGATATTTGACTTAATGAACTGTACAGAAGTAGGTGGTGCTGAGACCATAGTTGGTCCATTTTTTACAAACCGTAATTTTCTATATTGCAAATCTATTGTTTACAAGAAATTCTTTCATTACAATTTTTTGCTATTCTAAGTATTTGTAGCCACAATTGCTTCTATGATCTATTTTTACTTCTAAATTTGTTTGCAAGTATTACAAAGTATTGAAAGAAGAATACACTATATCTTTGTGTGTTTCACTACAAGTAGTATGTTTGTCATGAAAGGTTGTTTAGTTGCACCTAATTGCTTGTTTAATTCCGTAATAGCAAGACTTATATTGGCAGTATAGGTCTTATTAGTCTTGCACATAAATATTGGTTTTATTTTGATGTAAGATATTTAGTAGCAAAAATTCCATAAATGAGTTGTTTTTGTATTTTAACTATATAATGGATGCCTAAAAAGTTTAAGTATGTCTTTGCAAGGCATTGTTATTAATTCTTTATGTTGTATTTTTCTATAATTCTTAGATCATAAATCCATCTTTAATATGGCTTTGCATTTTTATTTATTTAGACATCTTTTTATGCCAAGACATAGATTTATTTATTTATTGGACTAACCATGTTTGATTTGAATGCCTCTATTTTAAAATCTAATCAGTTAGAATTGTATCTTTTATTGCATAGAGCTATAACATCAATGTCAAATTGTCAATTATCTAGATATTTTGACTATACATAAGCCATAGGATAAAAATATTAAAAATAAATGACTAAATAAATAAATGAATCTATGACTTGGCATAAAAAGAGGAAAAAAATTAATTAAATAAAAAACTATTTTATAATTTTAATAACTTATAACTAACAATCCTAAAAATGAACATGTTCATTCTATTGGTAATTATTTTAAGATAATTAGTATATATATCATAGTTTTAAAAAAATATATAAAATAAAAATTTATTTAAATAATTTACTAACTTATAAGTCATAGGATATAGCTAATAATAATAAAAATAAATTTTTATTTTATATTTTATTTATAGAATTAATAATTTTAAATATTAACCACGATTTTGAAGGATACAATGCAATACAAAAATAAGGATTTATATTGACATGATCATATTTATCTTCTCTCATGAGCACCTCTAATTGATTAACCATGGTGCTACTTACATCTTGAAATCTGTAAAAAAGTTTTTGAAATATAGACTAAGTTAAAATCCTTGCTTAGATTTGTAAAAGATTCAAAATATAAGAATAAAAGTCAATCATTCTCCTTTAGTAAATTTAGACCTAATTTTTTATGTATTTTAAAACTACAGATTCTAAATATACACGTATATTTTATATTTTAATTATTAACAAATTATATCTATATTTTAATCTATTTCAAAGCATAACTCATTCTTCTTTGTAAATTATCAAAGCATTGTACAAAGACTAAGCTAGGTGGTTTTTCTGTTACAAATGTAGCAATAACAATAAATTGCTCCAAAAAAATTGAATCTTGCTTAAAAATATTTGAGTCAACTCTAAAAAATTGGTTAGAGTTATACAATAACAAATCTCTAAAACATCTTGAAAATTTGATTTATGGATCTTTGTCTAGTATTCTTGTAAAAGAATAATATCTCTCTCTCTCTCTCTCTCTCTCTATATATATATATATATATTTACATATATACATACATACATATACATACATATAATCATATTTTGTCATGTGGTCCTTTTTTTTTGTAGTCATAGATACATAGTATAGAATTATTATATGATTTCATTTGCTATACATTCATCTTATGACACAATTGATGTATGACCTTTTTTTAATCTCTGTACTTTATACTATTTTATTTTTTGTTTAACTCTCTTATAATTATTTATATTAGTGTAAAGATATCAACAATTATCCTTGTGAGTATTTTCTAAATTATTATTTTGTCTTTAGATTTAATTTTTAAAAATATATCATAATTAAATCTAAATTTCTCATTTTGACTAGTATCTAAACTCTTGTAAGAGTCACTACAACCAATCAATGGCCAAGTGCAATTAGTTGAAAATGATTAATTATTAGAAGATAAAATATATTTAGAATAATCCTAAATTACAGGCAAAATATCTATTAATAAGGCTTGAGGTTTCTACAATGCCATTGAGTCTCTTTATGGGCCTATTTTTTAATAGTTTTTAATCATATCTAATTTGACTTAAATACAGCCATGTACATACATGAATTTGGATCTCAGATATCATTGAAGTGTTCATATTTGTTTTATTGTTGTGAACCAATTAACATAAAAATCTACTCATTGTTACTTTTTATTATATACCTACAAGTGCAAAAAAAAAATCTTCTTCTAGCTAGTCTAATCCATCATTCAATGACATGGTTTTTCAAAAAAATATGTATAGTTTAAATTTTCTTCCTCCTGTTAAGATTTTGGTGCATCAAAACAATCTTTTACGATCTAAAGTACAAATTTTTTTCACTTCAAATTCTTCTTTTTAAAGTTGATACTTTATATTTTGTCACAACCATTGTTTTGCATAGTCAGTGAAAACATACGTTTTCACGTTCATTTCAAATCTTTGAATGGCCAAATCTAACAATATATTTAAAAACTTAACATTGAAAGATAAAGTTCTCCAACAACAATACTTGTTGTTTTAAGTAGCCCATTAACTAAACTGCAATTGTTCTATTATATTAGTTGAAAAAATTACTTCACAAGATTTCTCTGCACAAAGTTGTTTGGGAGACATGAGTGAAAGCCATCTATATTTTCCTACTTGTTCGTCTCCATGACTTCTTTGCAAATTGCACCAGACACAAAAAACATATACTCTTATCGATCATCCTCACTCACAAATTTCAGAGCTGGAATGTTTCTAACGAATCATTCAGGACAAGCGATGGAAACATACGAGGTCCGCATCAGGAGCATCTGCCATTCTCGTCGGTGGAGCACTGCAACCCATTTCATTCATAAGATCCAGCAATCGAAGCATCGAGAAAGCACCGTGTGCACAAACTGTTGCAATTAGCGTCGGAGTTACTATGGCGCAGTCACTCGAGTAATTGCTGCTGTCAGGAAATCCTCAGGACTCAGACGAGAAATATATATATACATGTATATATATATAATCAGCATTTCCCGGAAGGTCGACAACGACGACGTGACTGAAAGTTCTATGGTCCTGCATAGTCCTGTGTTTGCAATTTAAGGAACCGGCAGAGTTAAGTGCTACTATTAATCACAACTCGGATAAAAAGGTGACGCAATGAATTCCTCTCTGCGCAAGTCAGACCATCCCTAGAAACGGTTTCAGTTGCAGAAGTCACAGCGACCTTCCTGCATTCGAGCTGCTGCGGAGATCGTGTCAGAAGACGATAAAGCATAAATGCGATTGATAGAATCCATGAGGATGAAGCCACCACATGAGGAATAACTGGCATGTGTCTATTTATCACCAAGGAGTTATTTTAAGATCCAGTGAACGCGGCCACGGATCCACGTCGACAGACCACCATTCCATGAAATGGATTCTCCTGCTTGGTACCACAAAACCCCCACCTGCCGATTCTCCCGAGTGTTTAGCTTGTTCCCCATGAAGGCAACCAGCTCGGAGAGAATCTCGCAGCTGGAAACTAGGAACAGTATGCGACGCATCTGTCCCAGGCTGGTGTGACATCCGGGCGGCGGTTTCTGGTGCAGGAATCAGGATGATGCTGCAGCTGCCAACTTCAAAACGCCATCTCGGGGGATTGCACAGTCAACTGTCAATCCCATATGTCGATCTCCATTCTAGCAACACCATCGTCAGGCGCTGTTGCAACAAAGCTAGACTCCCCAACGGTGGGTCCGTTTCTAGATCCTACCTCTATTTCGGTTGGTAGTTATATTTTGCGCTGTTAAAATCGTGGCTAGAAGAGAAGCTCAACTTCCATGTGTGCCCCCATTCTGACATATGGACAATAACATTAGTACAAATGCCACTTCGAATGTGAGCGTCATGTCAGAATGTGATACAATAGATGGTGAGCCATGTCGGATCTCAAATGCTAGATGGACTGCCAAGTGGACAAATTCGTGTCTAAGTTCCACATCCTAAAATGTAAACCACGAAATCACTACGTACCACGTCGATTTTCCATGTCAGGATTTGACACTTTGAACTAGGAATTTTGATCGTAGATGAGCCACTAACCCCACACACAATTGGATGTACTTTTAGAAGGTTTATTTCTGTATCCTTTGTCCATACATGCGCCTTCATAGAGTAAAGAATGTACAGAATCTTCTTTCATGGATTAATTTGATATTTGCTTTGTGATTTTGTTTAGAAAGACAATGAGCCTCAATATGATATTATAGCATTTGTATAAGTTGATATATCAAAGTAAAATGAAATCTAAAAACACTTATATATAGTCAAAATATCAAATGTTACTACATAAACTATTTGATGATATGAAAAAATTATATACAGTTTTGCATAAAAATAAAATGAACATAAAGTAATGATATGCATTTTTATTCAACAGCTATGTCCAATTCATTAGCTATATGAGTTATTAGTGTTGACTGCTAGTGAAAGTCTTTTGTAGAAATTGTGTGTATGTATGTCTTTACACATGTACATATATACATAGACACATTGATTAATCATGAAATTTTACAGAAAATATGATAAGGATATTGTACAGCATTCATCTATAATGTATTTTTATTAATTTCAGTAGTACTTTTTTATTTCATGTATATTTTTTATGTTTATGATCTACAAATATAAATAAATAAATAAATAAATAATAAAAAGATAGCCCAAATTAACCCAATGTGTAATGCTTTATGAACAATAAATATAAATTTAAGTAGCAATGTGGAGAAAAGTATAAAGTTACAATTTTTGATACTCAAAAGTATAAAATATACCAACATTTGTTTAAAAGTTGACTTTGATTATAATAGTGCAATCAAACTCTACAGAATAAGACTATGTGACGATTTATTTTTTAAATAAGTAAATAAAAAAGACATTAAGTTTTAAAGTTTGTATGGTATGATTCCATCTAATTTTCATTTTCAAAGCATGCCCAAATGATTTTTGACATAAAAGGAAAAGTGCTCCAATGTATTGTTATTATTATTATTATTATTTTCATCCAATTAGCAGTTGCAGGTTCTGGTTGGTTTATTTTGAAAATCATGCAATTTATCAAAACAAGTCTCTCTCTCTCTCTCTCTCTCTCTCTCTCTTTATATATATATATATATATATATATATCCCATGATTGATGTAACCTACATTTAAAAATACTATGCTTAAAATATTAATTCAACTTTAATTTTCAAAATAAAAAGTAAAGAAGAAAAAAGTTCCTCGTTAGAGTTGACGTGTAAATGAAATACATGTACTATTGAAAAGCCTACCCAAAATTGGATAAATGGGTTGCACATATAAACACAAAAAGAGGATAAAGTTGAAAGTGATAGAAGGAATCATACAGAAAAAATGCGTTTCGAAAAAGACAAAAATTAAAATGACTTTGGATATACACCTATTATGGAGCCCGAATACTTGCTCAAAGTAATGCTATTGCTCCCCTGAAAATGGGAAACGTTAAAGTAAAAGCTAAAGCTAAAGTAACAACCACTAGAATCTTTTTCACCTGGACTTTTTTACTTTCGAAGCGCAAAAAAGGACTTCTGTTAAAATATTTGCTATGGCAGCTCTTTTTTGCTACAATCACTCACCCCCGTAATTCAAAATGATAATGTGTTATTTACGGAGATTAAAACTTCAAAGTTACAATGGATAGGTAATTCCACATAATAAATTTAGTTCAAATATTGTCACCCAATACTGTTTTGGATGGAGATAAACTCACATATATTAGCTTAAAGACTTATGGAGCTTAAAATAATCTTTAGTTAGATTACTCTCGATGTTTCCAACACTCCAATGTTATACACCAGTCTCTTTATTCTACTTCGTGGTCTATTTGTACCTAAGCACAATTGTGTGATTTAATATGATTATTATTCGTTTCAATTTAACATGAAAGTTTTTTTGCTCTTGTATTGAAATATTTGCTTTATGTTTAGAATGACAATTCCATGTCACTCACACAAACACTTCCCCTTCGCAATCTCAACCCTAAAATGATCATGTGAAATGAACCGAATCTCCAACCCTAAAATTTGAAAATGATTCACTTGTTTATTTTTAAGCTCATGTGGCATAACCTGCGAGTTCTACGGTTATTTATTTATTTATTTTTAGGTATCAAGTTCTTGGGTTATCAACACTTGTAATGACTGCATATCGACACGTGTCAGAAAACTTCACTTCAAAAACAAAACCAAACTACCATTAGCCCCATAGTTAGAAGCTTTAGCAATCAGGCTGGCGCGCCATATTTCATCCATCCACATCCACTTCCAAAAATGGTTCATCTTATGAGATCAGTTGGATGATTATTAACCCTAAGACACCACCCTCACCTGCTACTCCCGGTCATTCTCCTCTCTACAAAATGAACCATGAAAAAGAAAAGAGGATCGTGACCTATGCGATAGTGCCACGTGGTGAAAGAGATCTTCAATTCATAGTCCACGTCGGATTGTCTTGTTTTTTTTTTTTTCCCTCGAAAAGGGAGAACAGATGTGAATTCTGACTGGAGCTTGAGAGGGAGGCGGCAAAAAGACGACGGTGCTTTCAAAAGGTGTCGAGGAATAGAGAGTGGGAGGGGTCCACGTCAGTCGGACTCCATCCGCGCCATCAGGGAAGGGCAGACAAGGACAGATGAGTACAGGGCGTGCGAGGAGTTGGTTGTGGCGGGGCCGGTAAAAGGAAGGGTGGAGCTGGAGGTGGGGGTGAAGGGGTCGGCGAAAGCACAGGGATGGCAGGGGGGTTGTGTACTGCGGCCCGTTGCGGCCTAAATCGTCACGTTGCGTTCCGTTGCGTCCAAGTCATAGCCATAGCTTTTGTGTCGCAGGCGACAATTCTCTGGTTCAGCCTGGATTCCCGCCTTCTTACCTCGCGAGGCTTCTTGGTTTTTTCTTGCTTTAGACTTCAATCGGCTGAGGAATAGCATATTCCTGCTGCAATTACTCGGCGAGGAAGGCTTTTTCGGTCTTGGGGGTAGCGATTGATGCGGTTTTGTGCTTTGCGCTTGCAAGTAAATTGATATACGGTGGGGGTGAGTGTGGGAGGGAGGGAGTATTTTATGGCGGGGTTGGTTTCGGAGTAGGCGGTATGTGGACGATCAGGTGAGGTCACGGTGCAGAGCATGAACAATAAGTTGGGAGTGATCACGGTTCTGTGTTGTTTGGGAGTGGGTTGGAGCGAGTGGGGTGGCAGTCAAGGCAGCTGTGAAAGGAGGAGGGAGTGGACGCGCGAGGGGAACCAGTTTTGGTAGGTCTGGGAGTTGGGTTTTGCTGGCGTTGCCGCTCAAGTCTGTTGCTGGTGTTGCGTGGGTACTGGGAGCTGCCATTATTCTTGTCTCTTGTTTCAAGTAGTGGGCGGATACGTCTTCTTCGTGATGGTTGGTGGCGTTGGATGGATTTTCATGTAATGATTTCGAGATATATTTGAAGAGTTGTGTGCAAGACCAGTGTTGACGCGATTCGTCGTTCGCTGAAGGACACAGTTGAAGCTTTTTTGTGGTCTTTTAAGTGTTGGGGTTCGTTATCGAGGGGTGGCATTGCAGTGTTTTTACACGAGTGCAACCACTGTATTTGTAGGACAGTGAGTCAGTATTATTTGTAAAAGTCTTAAAACAACTTGAGTTCGTAGGAGTTGTGGAGTGGGAAGCACGAACGTCTGTCCTTCGTGCAGAACGCATAGGCGGAAATCAGAAAAGTGATGAATCATGTCACCTAATGTGTGTTATCTCAACTTGGATTAGTTGCGATGACGTGAACGTTAGAGGATCGTAGGGGTATTCATGGAACAGCTGTCGATTTCAGTGTTACCTGACGCGAGAAAATCTCAATCAATATCGCACTAACCGGGAACGACAATCAGTGTACCGTCGTGTGAGGGTCAAGGATCAGAGTGTTAATCTTGTGGGTATTAACTAATTTGTTTTGCCTGTTGTGCATGACATCTGCAGGTGCTAAAATACGCAATCTTGCTCCTAATTAAATGAAAAGCAATTCCGGACTCGGATCACAACTAGGCCACGGAAGGGGGCCGACTCGGAGCTGCGCCTTATTCTGTTGAAACTATGACTGCGGTCCTACAGTTCCAAAGGAGCACTCAATCATCTTCCAGCGATAGTGACGAGTACACCTCAACCTCAGAGTATTTATCGGACATAGACACGGAGGGGTGCATTAGCAATAACGCTCCTCCTCTTTTTAACGACGATGTTCACGGTTTAAAGATCAATCCGAAATTCTTATTCAGCACATCTCCGCCAAAGCACAGAAGCGCGAGAGTTCATGAAGCTGGAGCTCAGCTGTCAATGGTAGCGTTGGTGTTCGCTACAGTTAGAAAGTCGCTTCTTACGTGCCAAACAGCGGAAGGAGTAGAAATAATGGAAGGGGAGAGGGTGAAAGCCACAGACAAGGTCGGTGAGAAGGAAAAAGGAAAAGGGAAGGAAACCAAGATGGGCATGGAAATTGGATGGCCGACGGATGTAGAGCATGTTGCGCACGTTACTTTCGACCGCTACAATGGGTTTCTTGGCCTGCCTGAGGAATACGAGAATGAAGTGCCCAGACCAACTCCCAGTGCAAGGTCCGTTGTTATATCAGATTCTTGATCTTGATGCCCGACGTGGTTGTGGTGTGACATTCCCTGTGTTTCTTTGATTATTACCTTGAAGTCCCTTATCATCGCACCCCGGCGGCATATAACTTCGAAGAGCGTTCTGGTTTCGTTTCGTCATATGGTCAGTAGTTCACTGTCATATGTGAGAAGTTTAAAGAAAGTTGCTGGTATCGAAATCATATGAAGAGAGTCCTATGTGCGATGAACTATGTCTAGAAAGTGGGATAATATGCAGAAACTTGGATGCAATAATGTGGTTCTTGATATGCTCACCGTTTAACATTATTTTTTTGCAGCAAGAATGTGTTTGGAGTTTCAGTGGAGTCAATGCAGTGTTCACTCGACTCTCATGGCAACATGGTCCCGACTATTCTTCTGCTCTTGCAGAGACAGCTCTATGATCAACAAGGGCTCATGGTGCGTCCAATCTGAGAATAACAGCATGAGAAATCTTTTATGTCTGCTCTATTTGAACATTTTAGAACTTGTCTGGGTCAGTTAGCTTGACCTAACGTGTATAACATGACTGCAGAATGCGGTACCTTCCATGAACGCCTGTTTGCACCAAGTTTCAGGTTCAATCTAACTAGAAGTTTTACTGTTCATTCAGGCTGAAGGTATTTTTAGGATAAATCCCGAGAATAGTCACGAGGAGCATGTGCGGGAGCAACTCAACAAAGGCATCGTCCCTGCCGACATCAATATTCATGCCTTAGCTGGCTTGATTAAGGTTGGTAAATTTCACTCCATCAGATGCATCGGTGAAATATTTTCATTCCCCCTTTTCCCTGTTTGGCTATCTCAGAGGCGAGATGTTTGGAACCCCTTCTTATGATTATAGAAGAAGATGGAATATGTAGGTTCTGGCATATGATTGCCCCCTCAGAGCAGCAGCGAGGGAGCGGTTTCTATTCCTACGTGTTCGTCTTTCACAGGAACTGATAGAAGAATGGGTTTTGAGTGCAGGCGTGGTTCAGGGAGCTTCCAAGAGGCGTTCTAGATTCATTGAGTCCAGAGCAGGTTCTTGCTTCCCACGGTGAGAAGGATAGCTTGGCACTTGTTAAGCTACTGCCGGCTACGGAGTCTGCTCTATTGAACTGGGCCATTAACTTGATGGCCGATGTCGTGGAGCTGGAGTCTTTCAACAAGATGAATGCTCGCAATATTGCAATGGTATTCGCTCCTAATATGACACAGGTATGGAGCACTTCTGCAGTGGTCTCTATCTGTAGAAGCTGTTGTATGGCGAATGGTCCTCTTTTTTCACATGGTAACTCAAGATTGCTTATCCTAAAAGGTGGTTTTCCGTTAGCATGTTATGTGTCAATGAAGGTTATCCCTTTACTGATTCATATTTACTGCCCTGCAGATGGTTGATCCGCTCAATGCCCTGATGCATGCCGTTCAAGTAATGAATTTGCTTAAAACTCTGATTCTTCGCACACTGAAGGACCGGAAGGCCAGTTTGCTGGAATCTCACTCACCCCCCTCGTCGCCAGAATCTCCCAAGTTGGAAGAGCCTGAGCATGATCCTCAAGCCGCCCTGTGGGTTGAAGACTCTAACGATGATGTTTATGGTGGCAGCGTATTTAATCGCCATGATAGACAATGGTTCCAAACCTCCCAAAACTCGTGCGCAGGGCTTCTCCGAGGTCATGACCGGACGAGCTCTCAAGGCTCACTAAGTGGTGTTTGGATGGATCATGAACGTGGCAGCTCACGATACCCACCTCTACCATTCGCGGGTTCTCATGATCGTCAACCAAGTCCTGTATTTGGTGGCCCTCATAAAGCGAACCCTTTTCTTAGGAGCCCCACCGAGCACAATTATGATCGGAATAGCTCACAGACCGCGTTACTGAATGGTCTTGGGCACAACAGTGACGAGCCACAAGGAGATTTCAGCCCTTTCACGCTTTTCCCCCCTACGCACAGCACTAAAGGAAAGGGTTCTAGTGGTCGCATGACTCCTTCCATTGACCAACGAGCTGAGCGGGTGGAAGCATGGTGATCCGCTGCATAGTTCTCTCTTCTGTTTTCTAGATGTAGAACTTTGTTGTTCCATTTCTATGGGTGTGAAAAAGGACCACGACGAAGAAGTAACACAGGGTTGTGATTCGACTCGAGTACTGATAACGAAGGTGAACGCTCGTCCTTCAGATTTCTCACAAGGGCTTAAGTGGCTTTGAGTGGAGTCATTTGAAAAGAAGACAATACCCGATGCATGGCTGTGTACATCTTATTGGCAAAACGTGTAGGTGGAAGGAACATCACGCTTTCTAGTGATGAAATCAACTCAGCATGTCTTGAGGTGATGGCTTGGGTCACTGGAGTAGATTGTTTGAAGCAGATACTGCTGGAGTAAAGAATCCTGGGAGGGATGGCACTTTTGTACTATAATTCAGGATAGCTCAGTTCTTATACTTGTTCAGTAGTAGTAATCTACACAAGACAGACTTGAGCAAAAACTAACCCATTCTTTGATTAAAGCTCGCTTGCTGAAGAGGGCTTGATCGGAAACAAAGCCAAGTTTTGCTTGGTGCTTAGGCATGTGAATATTTCAGGTGTATTTATTTTCAGGGGTTTTTCACTTGGATTGACTTAATCTAAACATCTCGCTTGTCTACTCGTTTGAAACGAATGGGATTTGATGCATCTCACTTCAGAATGAATAGCACTACTTTTTAACTAGCGTACTCTTTGGTGTGCCCTTCATTTCTCTACTGACCTGCAGTGTACAGACTTTTTACCTTGTGATCTCTTGTGTATATGTCGCATTAGTATCTGACACAAGACGCTTGCTGTCTCAGTAAAAGCTCACACATGCATCACTGCAATATTTTGTACCAGTTGTGAAGTGATCTTCGGATTCAATGTCTCGATGCGAAAATATAACACTTTCAGAAGCATCATACGACTTCTGAATTGTATGTACGCCGTTGATTTTGAGTGGAGGACGCCTATCCGTCATTTGGAGAGGCTGAGTTTGTCACACGTGTTCAACTTTTCCATCTTCCCTTCTGTCTGGCACCGCATGCGCCAAGCACTAATCGTGAGCTTATTCTTCTAAAGTTGCCCATCCGACAAAAATCTTGTACACAACATTAGACCTGCAATTGTTCAGAACTATCCCGAATCGTTTCCTTTCTGAATGATTATTAAGGGGCATCTCACCTGTTGTCAATAAGCTCAGCTTATCAATTTCCGCCGCGGATGTGAGAATACCGGGAGCAGACACCATTCAAATTGGGTCAGGTGAGTGCGACTCTTGTGTAAAATTTTGAACTATCTGGTTCCCTGTGTGCGTTGCGTTCGTTTAGGTGGAGACTCCTTTTGTCGATAGGTGTATGAATTGGGTCGAGGGATTTGGAGCAGTTGTGTTGAGGTTGGTCTAGTAATTGTGTTGAGGAGATAAAGAGAACCCTTTCGAACACCTTGCCGTCGGTGCAAAGAATGATTGGGTAGCATCCACCCACACTAGCACTGATTTGAAGAGTTGAATTGGCAGAAGAAATAGAAATTTCCAGCTCTTTTGCCATTAGCCGAGTAGTGTCCCTCGTTTTGCTACTCGGATCAAGCGGAATGTGCAGTTTAAATATGAATTTGGCGAGACTAGGTTGCGAGAGATGCACTAAAACGTGAGCATCCTTTAGGTATTTTAATGTTTTGTGTGGTCTGAAGTGGTTACGTGATTATCCACAGAGCAGCTATGGCAGCAATCAATCTTGCGAAACAGGCGGTAATAAGTCCTCGTACTGCGCATCTGTCTTCTTCCTCCACCTGCCACAGCCACACAAAACCCCTTCTCCCACCAGATACAGTGAGCTCAAAAAGAATTTTAAAGTATCGAGAGATGGCAAGCCCTGAATGCAGCAGTAGCGGCATGACTGATTCCCAGCCCGGTCGAATTCAACGCCAGGTCCTGAGCAAAGAGGGTCGAACTAAAATGAACCCTACGTCGGACAGGGGCTTCTATTCTTCCCCAAGGTTTGTTACTCACGTGGATGATCAATTCATTGCAACACTTACTGATCTGTACCGCGAGCGCATACCTGACAATGCCGAGGTCTTGGATCTCATGAGCTCCTGGGTCAGTCATTTGCCAGGTACGCCAAAATAACCTAATTTTCCAACCCCCCATTCCAATTACCCTAACTATCAAAATCCTGGCAACATCTCTCTTGTACATTTGTGACCAATTCTCACGAACATCCGTGTCCCCTCCCAACATTTCATGCAGCCGAGAAGAAATACAAGCGTGTCGTGGGACACGGTCTCAACGCACAGGAGCTTGCCCGCAACCGACAGCTCAACCAATTCTTCGTGAAAGACCTAAACGAGGAGCCGAAGCTGGAGAGTGCTGACAATTCCTTCGACGCCGTCCTCTGCACTGTCAGCGTCCAGTACTTGGAGCAACCCGAAAAGGTCTTCGCCGATATCTTCCGCGTCCTCAAACCCGGTGGTGTCTGCATCGTGAGCTTCAGCAACCGCATGTTCTATGAAAAAGCCGTAACTGCGTGGCGAGACGGCAGCGACTACAGTCGAACCCAGCTCGTGAAACAATACTTCCAGTGCATAGAAGGCTTTACCACTCCGGAGGTGGTGAAGAAGCCCATCTCCCCCACCCAATCCTCTCAAAACTCTTCCCCGAATCCCTTGTCTCTCATCACCAACCTCTTCCAATCTGCGAGCAAGGACCCATTCTACGCAGTGGTCGCTTATCGCAACTTCAAGCCCATCCGTGAATAGAGTTACGCTACACTCTTGGACCTCCAGGACGAAGTCAATACCTGCACAGTATGAGCCTCCATATCCATATCCATATCCATTTTTGCCTCTGCCATCAACTTGTACACAACTGTAAAATCCTGTTTTTCCTTCTTCTTTCACTGCAGGAAGTTTGTTTGTTTGCATTGGATCTAAGCTTTTAGCTCCGTTGAGATTCTTCGAGCTCTCCACGTAATCCATAACAGTAGGGTTGTGTACAGGAGGAGTATGCATGCAGCACGGCAACAACTCTAGGCTCTGTGAAGAACAAGTTACTCAACTGTCATGCTTAGCTCTGCTTTTCTCTAGTCTTCTGTTCATCTCACACTATATATATATATATATATATAGTTGACTCTCCGTTAACCGATACGATTGGTGGACGCCGAAATGTATCTAATATTGGAGGGTATCGAATTATAGAGTGACAGATTGCGATTGGTTGATGAGTGTCAAATTGTGGTTGGCTAATATAATGAAAACTTGAAGGGAGATTTTGAGTTTTGGAAAATGCAAAAGTTGGTCCCCAAGGTGTTCCTTGATTTTTACAGACAAAACTCCGTGGGGTTACTAAGGAACGTACTTATTCAACAAACAAATCAGAGCAATGTCAAAGACACTTACCAATGAGCAAAGGCTTGGAATTTGCCAGAAAAAGGCAGAAAACCCATTTATGAACTATAAAGAGCTTGCAACATGGGCAGCAGATGATTTCAATCTTCAAAAATTGCTATTGCAGAGTACCATCAACCCCATTTTCAATAAGCACTAAGAGTATGAGAGCCTCGACTTGTCTAGACTCTCTACACAGTGCCAACGGCTTCCAATGCATCCTTAGTTAGACTAAGTGTTGGCTAATTCGATTTTGCAATGCCAGCATTGAGGTGTTGTGTTCACTGATGGATTTATACAAGAGAAAGGAAGAAAGTGTGCCATGCTTTTGAGCATTGCAAATCTACCAAGATTTTCAAATGGTTGGGTTTAGAAGTTTAAGCAATGATATGAATTTTGAGCATTCAAGTTGCATGGTGAAAGTGCATTGGCCAACACTATTACAATTAAAGTATCTCTTCTTGAGCTTCACGTAAAAATCAAGTGGTATGCCTTCTATGACATTTACAACATGGACAAAACCAAGTTATTCTATTGTTATTCTGTTATTGAGTAAGATAATTGATGCTTGCTAGATTGCAGGAATGAAAAAGGATAAAACGAGAATCATCATTGCTCTTACCACTAATGTAGATGGCTTGAACAAGCTGAATCCCTTTTATATTAGCCATGTATGGAAACTGTTCTACTTTAATAAGAAAATTGGCAAACAACTTAATTTTTTCTACTATGCAAATAAAAAAAACATGAATGATTAGCCAATTCATTTAAGGATGGCTAAAAAATATCAATGAAAGGATTCTCCTTTTTTTTAACAATATTCTTTTGCACGTTTTGAAAAAAGTTGAATTGTCAAATATTGAGATTGTATTTCTTCTACCAAACACAATCTCAATAATTTATTCTATGGATGCAAGGATCATTGTTGCCTTTAAAAGGCGTTATTGTTGCTTTCAGCTATAAGATGCAATTGATAAAGATAATGCTAGTAGATTTGATATTTACAAAGTCAATCAACTAACAATAATGCATTGATGTAATAATGAATGGAACAATATTCTTATTTTCTTAGTAAGACAATTCATATGCTTCCTGAAGTTCGATAATGCTTTAAGCTTATTAGACATTATATTTATAGACCAAGAAGTCAAAATTGAGGAAGCAAGTATCAACAATGAACTATCTTCAACCAAAGAGAAACTAGATATTTGCAATCCAATGTCAATTGAAGCTCGTCTAAATCTTATCAATGAAGAAATTATCTATCTATAGTTTATAGATGAAGAGATTGTAGAAGTAGTGGAATACAACTAAAATGATGCTAATAATGTTGACAAGCTAGAGGAAGCGGAAACGGAAATAACAAACAAAGAAAAACTAAAACTCTACCAAAAATTTGTCAAAATCCTTGACCTTTCATTTTCCTTGCATGCTACTACTTATAATATTGCTTGCCAAATACAAAATGAGCTACAATGCCAAAAAAAAACATCAGTCATTGCTTGTTTCTTGACTCCAACATTCATTGTAACTACATCACTATGTAGTTAGCTTTGTTCTTTGTTTTCATTGTTTTTTATTTTATTTTATTGTTTTGTATACAATAGTAAACCAATTTTGCTCATGAAATGCATTGGATATTGGAGAGAAGAAAGTATCAGTTCACGCCACAAGAAAGCAATTGTTGGAACTCATTTTGTTTTGAATATCGGAGGATATTGGTTTACAAGGGATCATATAACAGAGGGTCAAGTGTATTTATGTATGTGTATGTGTGTGGGTTTTTGAATAATCAGTCTTATACAATTAGGCAAGCTTAGCTCAATATGCAATTACGTTTCTATAGTTGTGTTGTGAGGTATATCATGGAAGATGCTTAGAAGTTACTTTGTTGTGAAAGTTTCTACAATGAGTTTTAGTTCACAGTTGTACATGTAGATACAAATCTTGTGGATAAAATCCATTGTCTTCATAGATATATATATATATATATATATATATTGTTGGCCACATTGCAATGCCCTAATCCCAACTATTAGTAGCCAAGGTTAGGATTTTAAAATGTAGAAAGTATATAACAAAGTATTAAATTTGAAATTTCTTTTAAATATTTTTATTGAATATATACATTTCAAAAATCAGACATAAACAAACGATGTTAAATTTTACTAATGACCCTTTGAAAATAAAAAAATGTTTGTTTCCAGATTAAAAATTAAGTTGAAATCTTGAAGTATGATTGGTTTTATCCAATACAGTATAACATACTAAAAATAACAAGGAATTGTACCTCACAAGATTTTTAATATGGTATTATAGAAAATAAAAAAATAAAAAAATAAAACTCAAATACTTTCTCACATAGCATTGTTAACCATATCCAATGTTTCTAATCTCTTTGATTGATAAGCCTCAGTAGCATACCAGAAAACTAAGTTGAACCAAGAATCTTTGGCAACCAATTTCACAAAATGGGAAATGAAAACAAACATGCGAATGTACCCATCTACATGGATATTTGTCTAGATTGCAAAAAGCCTCTATAACCAATTTTACATTTCATTAAATAAGGAACATTTTTCACTCTGTGTACTTGACTTTTGAGTTGTAACTTGAATAAAAGATTGCCCAACTAATCCTTCTAATGCTAATTTATAGTAAATTTATATAATGTACAAGGCAACAGATATGGATTCATTGAACAATTGCATAGAAACAAATGTTAAAAGAAACTTTGTTTGGACTTCAAAATTGGCATAACATATCATTTCTTACATGATTGATGAATTTTGTTACACACATCTTGGTATTTACTAATTTAAGATGGCATAAGTAATTTGAATGTGATAGCTTTGAATGCTGATTAGCTACAGAACTAAGGACTCACTATTTTTCTATTGTTATTAAAATAATATATAGTGTAATCTATAAATTTAAAAAATCTTATGGTATTACAAAATTTAAAAAAACAAGATTTTTTTTTATTTTAATTACATGAAAATAAATTGTCAAAATCTTTATAATGATGACCTTTGCAATAGATTTTTAATAGAAAGATTAAAGTTTTAAAGGATAGGTAATGCATTAACAAATTTAAGAAAAAACTTGATATTAAAACGTTAACATGTTTTATTGAACTAGAGTACATTTAGAAGGTATGTACTTTGCAAAATTTTGGTATCCTCAATGTTTATGGTTAATCCTTCAATAAGTATGTAGAGAAAAAAATCAACTTTTATTATAAAATAAAAAAACTACTAGAACCATTAATAAGTATAAAAAGAGTGTTCAAACACAAGCACAAATCTAACATGATAAAATAGTATGCTAAGGACAAAAATTCTCCTTACCTCCTTTAGAAATCTATATCAATTGTAATCTTAAGTGAATATTCTATGAAGAGAGATGGGGAATATTATGCAAGATCAACCTTAGAAAAAATGCCTACTACAATTATGCTCCTTGCCTTTGTTCATTTGACCTAGACTTATACAATAGAAAAATCTCTTGTATAAGTTTAGATCCAAATTATTCTAAGCAATTTTTAAGAGAAAAAAACATTAAATTAAATTAAATTAAATGAATTTATTTATAAAATTTTATAAGATAAAAAATTTCATTTATTATTGTCTTTTTGTTGCAATGAAAGTTTGTCTTGTGTTCCACTCAATGAAAAGGTGCATTGTGTTTGTGTGCATGGCTTGACAACCTTTAGGGTGCTCACTTCAAGAGCATTGGGACCCAATGGAGCCCTAGACTTGCCATCCATCTATGTATGTTGAGTTTTTTTTCATCCATGAAGTTGCATCTTGTTTCATTCTTCTTCTAAGTCCATTTTCATGAATCTAATGGAACCTTGAAATGATACTTGGTTCATTGAAATAAACCTAATATAAAAAATAAAAATAAAAAACATAATTTATTAGAAAAAAAAATTAAAAATTGTAATCTATAGGTGTAGATTTGTAGAAAAGAAGGCCACATCCCTTCCTCCCTTGAACAGGTCGTAGTTCGCAACTCAAGGGGAAGAACCTTGTTTTTTGGTTTGACGTGTTTGGATGGAACATTGTACAGAATAAATACAATATAGAAGGCCCCTCCTTTATACAACCACCACGAAGGTAGGGTCCACAAAAGAAAAAAATTGGGACTAGAGCCCACATTAAATGACGAGCCCGAATTTTTGTCATTCTATTTTTATTATCATATTATATTCTTTTGTTGGTGCAGAGTTCAAAGCCTTCAGGGGCACGGCCCAGCCATCCCCCCCCCTCCCCCCCCCCCCTTGACTCGCTCACTCACTGTTCACAAGGGGGAGGGGCAAGGATCTCAGTAAAGCCCTAATCCCTCCAATACAAAGATGAAAAAAATGCTCCACGCAGGAGACACATTCCGTGTGTGAATTGGCGCCCCAACCCTACTCCACCTGACACGTGGTGAAAATTTCCAAACACGGAAAATGCTCCTGAAGGGTGCGATCAGTCAGTCCACCTGGGCAATCAGTCAGGAATTGTGCTGACGTGGAATCCACGTAACCCCTGTTCCCACCCCCGCGCCCTCACCAGGTGTTCAATGCTTGTGAGACTACCCCCTCGGGCCGCCCATGGCCTACCACTTAAAAGGCCACATGGGCAAGGGGGGGGTTGGGTTTATGGGCAGCTGCTGCCCGGGGGAAAAGGAGGGTGGGGCCCGGTGGGTTGTTGGCTACAGACTTTGAGAATGTGGTCCAAAAGGGCTGCTGCTGCTGCTGCCCAGGCGGTTTGCACAGAGAAGGGGGGGCCTCATTGGGGGAGAAAGAGAAAGGAGATCGATCCCATGGATATTTAGGACAACTGGAATGTTGTCCCTGTCTGCCCCACCCATTCACTTCATACCAGCTGTTCCTCTGTTGTTGTGTTTTCTTTCC